ATGTCTGAGAATAAAAATCTCGAAAATTGTCTTTTGAAATGGGAAATACAGTTTTTCAATTCTCCGCTTTGGTTATTCTGCCTCCTTCCATGAAGTGTAGCGGCGCTTAACACAAGGAAAATTCTTCCTGTTGGGAAAACCACGCAATACAAACAGTAATTTACAACTGTGGCAAGGGGAAATCCAAATAAAGAGCGTCGAATGCATATTTTAGGGCGAAACATTTATCAAACATTATCATTCTTTAATGCGCAGGTCGCTAGCGCACCATTTTGAATAATTTGTGACCTGTTGGGATTTTAATTACTCCGTTTCAACTATTGCAAATTAAGCGTTTTGTCGATTATAATAACGATGAAGAGATACAGTTAAGCTTTTGAATTTATGGGCACAATTTGCACGTTTTTGGGAATTCAATGAACCGACTTTGAAATTAAATTACGGCATGCAAATTAACGCAGTGAACACCTCGCAGCGAGGACCTCTTGTGCGCAGCGCTGATTTTTCGCCTAGTGCTGAATGTGTGAACTGGTGAGACTAGGAAAAGAAAATTGAGTTAGGCCTTAACGGTGTTGGCTTTAAAGCAAAAGCGTTATTTGTTAACAGGAGTATTCCATTAGAAATATTGGAGAAGTTGTAATATGTTGGAAATTTAATTACGCTACCAACGGGCTTTGAAGTGGATTTCATGAAAACACTGGTTTCCTGAGACCCGGGTTCGAGACCCAGGTTCACGACCCGAACAATCTCATGTGAAATTTGATCCAACGAAAGGAACTTCCAACCCCTGTGAAGTGTCCTAAACTAATTATGGCCGCTGGGTATTGACGCAGGACCGCGTGTAAAGAGGCGCATACGTGGAGATACTACCTGGCGGTCCTTTTGACTACAGTCTATCTTACGAACACCCTAACGTAAAATCAATAACTTGGTAATGACCTCGTAGTTAATGCGACCTTAAATAAACAAAATAGAAAAGCAATAGAAGGAGAAAAGGGCATGAGCTTGGAAACCACATTCTTCAGCATTTTACCTCAAAATTCGCCCTTCGGTAGAAGGTAGCTTACTCTGTTACCCAACGAACTTGTATGTATCAATAACGCAAATGTTGTTTTATTTGATTAACCAAAGAATATTATTAATTTATGGTACAATATTAATAATGTATTGAATTTTCGGTGGGGTAACACTGTTAACGCCTTGGTTTTCAAAATATGCATAAGTACTTGGGAGTCGTAGTATTAATAAAAAAGAGATATTTTTCATTTTTCAGCCCTTTAAGTCACACAAAGATTGTTCTCACAGATTATAAATGCATGAGACTTGTATTTTGAGCGTATTGTGTGATTATATTAGACCGTTCATTATCATTGTCGTTCTTTTAATACTTTGTTGTAAAAGTTGTTCTTTTTCTCTAACAATTATCTTACTAGATATTACACGAGCAATTCATTCCAAAATCACAAAATTACAAAATTCTATTACTCTTACCAGGGGTGACCAATGATTATAGCAGCCAGACTCCTGCGCACTTACCTGAAACAAAGAAACACAAATTTAAGTCCAAATTGTTATGTCAATAACATTTTATAAACAACTAGCAAAATACCCAGCATTGCTCGAGATTTCGTCATATCTAATCCTTACGAAAACGAGAACAGATAAATTTTATATAAACCACGGTGTTTAAGACAGTTATTTTTAATGTAATTATTTCCAATTTTAATATCATACTATTATTCTCTTTCATTTTATTTTACAATGCACATTACTATTAGAGATATTAGCAACATACGTTGCTATTTGATAAAACACAATATCTTACGCACTGCGTCTAGTCTCTGGCGGAATATATTAGGAACCTGGCTTCTAGCGGAATATATTAGGATCCAATCTGTTGTTAGCGAGAGACGAAAAATTATGATAGTGGTACTTCTACCAACTGTTTAAACTATTTATTTTACGCATTTGTATTTTGCTAATATTTAGCAAGCTTTGTAAGGACTCTGCGACAATTCTGAAGAAGAGTCTGTAAAAATTTCATCTCTATTCATGCAATACTTTTTGTTGCATTGATGGCGGTTATATGCTGTAGAATTCACTTTTATTAGTATCGACCAGGGATGTCCCACTTTCAAGGTCTCAAGAGCTACAACTAAAATGTTTAATATGGTTGCGGGCCATTTTTACCTTACTTGGGGAGATTCACCACTGACTTCCCCTTTATGATATCGGCAGTTTGCCGGACAGTTCTGAAATCGGGGGGTAGAATAATACGTGATATCTGGCAGTACCATGCAATTCATCTCTCCCGACATGGCTGCAAGGGACGTTCCCTGTCGACTAATAACTTTTCGCGGGCCACAAGAAATGGTCCGCGGGCCGCATGCGGCCGACGGGCCACCAGTTGTACAACCCTGGAATACACGATGCGATGGATCCTCACGTGACTGCTCGAGGCAGTCTGTGCGAGAGCAACCGGTCACGGCCGTCCGACTGTCAGCACGCTGGCGCTGTTCTACCGATCGAACTCTGGAAGGAGTTTTGGCTCTGATTGTGAAATAATATATTCTGATGATTCATTTTGTATATATTTTGGAGACCATCACAAAGAGAGAAAAGACAATATTAAATCGTAAAGTATGGAACATTAAATGTTTGAAGGAAAACAAACGAATTTCTATAGCGATGATATCACAGCGATTAGTGAAAGAGTCCAAAGTGGAAGATGACGTGTGCAAGAAAATTAGAAATAAAGTGTATTGGTATTCTCAGGAGACGTTGGGTAATTCTCGTGCATGTTAAATCAATATTACGAGTTAAATATTTGGGATTATCAAGGAAGACAGGGGAGGAAGTGTAGCAACGGGATAGCCAAGAAAGAGTAGAGTAGAACAAATGAACGTGGTGCACAAGAGGCATCGAGAAGAGACGATTTTCAGGACGTCTCGTGACCGAGAAAAAAGTTGAAAGGCGGGCGTTGTGATTGAACGGGAGAAGAACGAAAGAGAGGAAGTAGATGATAGAGCGTGTTGTCGCAAGATGAATTGTGAAACTCAAAATATCGAAAGACGTTAATGTGGAAATGGAATGAGATCAGCTGCTATGAACGACCAAAATAGCTGTTATGAAAGTGAATAGACATTATTTACATCATAATTGGAAGTTATGGGCCATTTGGATTTAAAATGAGAATTAAAATGAGATAGAAACTATTAAAAAGATAACAATTGCCATGAATGGAATATGAAAGAATCGCGTGCCTCTCGCTTGTAGCAGGAGGGCGACGCCATTCTGGACCGCATCCTCAGCAACGTGACTGTTGATTGTTGCAGGAGGGCGACGCCATCCTGGACCGCATCCTCAGCGACGTGACTGTTGATTGT